TGGGATGTTTTCTCAATGTTCAATTGCTCTTGTATATAAACCTCTTTCTTATACATATGCGTGTTTATGAATTTGTTTCTCCAAACTAACTCACAGTCCTAAACACTTAACAACATAGAGGCTCCACTTAAAATGAACATTTGCCCCAAAGACCAATGCTGTGCGGACGATGTGAAAGAGCCTTACAAGAATGGTCTTCCCTTGCACAAGATGACAATAGGATATGTGAACCACCTTTACTTTTTAACCTCCTAAATATTAACCTGTGCTACACTGGCCCACTGAATTATTTTCACATTAACCACACTTACTTTCTGGTCATAATTCTTCTCTTTTGAGTCCAAATTAACTGTCTACCTGAAGCCTGCAGTTAAATCTCAGCCGCTGTGACCTCGCCCTTGAAAACGTTTTCAAAAGTTTTTTGGTCTCTTTCCTCTTCGTCTTGCTGGCATCATCAGCTAGACTGTAAACTCCTTTAGGGCGAGATCCTCCGAAACGCCCTAAAAAACAGTTTTTCCCTGCCACGTGTTTGCTGTACCTATTGACTGGGTGGACCCACCCAAGAGCGCATCTCTTAAGCGCCTCCGCAGGCCCAGGTGTAGCCGCCTTTCCCACGCTCTCACCGGGTGGATGCTGATGCGGCCCGACGCTCTGAGTTGTCCATAGGGGGCGCCCGGTGCCGGAAGGGCACACTACAAATCCCAGAGGGTAATGCGGCGGAAGAGAGCGCGGTGGCGTCTGGGATTTGTGGTCTCCGTGAAGGAATTCGTGGGTTAGAGCGCCCTCCAGCGTTATCTCGCCACCTCCCACTGTTCCGGGCCGTTTAGACCCGTGTCTAACCCATTTCCTAGGAGACCGAGGACCTCCGGCAATAAGGTAGGAGGCCTGGCAAGGTAATTTCCGCTTCCGGTAGCCAAAGGGCAAGCCGAATGTAAACACGGGACCGCGGGAGTGGTCATCATCAGGTAACTGGGGCTGTGGTGGCGGCCGAGGAAGGAAACGAGACGCATCGTCCTGTGGTTCGAGAAGGAAAAAAGCTTCCAGAGTCGGAATTGAGGTTGGAGTGGGGTGTAGCAGAGCCGAGACACCAAGGTTCGTTTCTTGAGACGAGCGAGTGTTTCGGCCCGGCCTCCCCCTGCCCCCTCCCCCAGGCCCACGTCGCGGCTTTGACCTTCTCTTGGCGGTGGGCGGTGAGGCTCGGGGCTTTCCATCCCGCGCCCGGGGTGGAGAGGGCCAGGTGAGCACGCGGGTGACCTTCGGGGCAGCCTCCTCCTGCACTTTCCACATTTTTACTGTCTAACAATGAAGGAAACGTGTGCACACTGCTTGCTTTCTTGCCGAGAGATCTTCGGGCAAACCTTTCCTTGCATTCTTCACCTCCGAATTCATCCCTGTGCCCGGAAGGATCGACGCTGTTAGGATTACCGGATCAGGCATATCCATTCGTTTCTCATCTTGGTTGCTGTATTGGATGCACTTGAGCTACGCGTTGTCTGACTTACGATTTTAGGATACATTGCTTTTTTTTTTTTTAGATTTTTAAATATCCGTTAAATATAAACCTGTTGACTTTGCATGAAAGCCATGTGATTATGTTTTGCCAATAAGATTTCCTATCCTGGCGTAAAATGAAAATAAGGGTTATGATACAGGCGCCTTGTCCATCTAGTTATAGACTCAGGAGCATTACTTTAATAAATAATTTCAGTGTCAAGTTCAGATAGCCTTAGAAGAACAAAGTTGTAGTTAAGTGCTGTTGGGTTCGTTTCAAGCCTTAGGCACCCCACGTGACTGGATGGAACTTACCCCATCGTGTTTCCTAGGTTGTATTCTTTATGGGGGCAGCTAGGTGGGATCCAGCAGAAAAGCAGTAAGCCCTTAGGATTTCAGATAGTTCAGTCAGTTCTGCGTATTATGTTTCCGAAGGCAGAAAGTGTTTTTGCATGTGCCATTCCCTCACTCTAGGATTCTTCCCTACTTTGAAGTTTTATATTTGTAAATATACACCTTTCAGGTGTGTGCTTTTTCATGCCATGCCCGGCGTCCTTTGTTTATTCCTTAATAACATGTAACCTGTGTTGTGTTTGACTGTCGGGCTCCAGGCAGGTTTGAAGAACATCTGAAACCATACTAATCACTTTGGTTAAATGATTCATGATTTTAAACCTTGGTAGAACCTTGGTGTAATTTGATATCGTTGTTGTTGTTTGGTGCTGTTCAGTTGGTTCTGATGCATGGGGACCTTTGAGTACAGGACTGAAACACTCTCTGGCCCTGTACCATCGTCACGGTCATTGCTAGGCGTGAGCGTGTTGTTGCAGCCACTGCGTCAATCCATCTCACTGGAAGTGTTTCTTACCAGGCTTCTTAAGTCTTTCACCAGGGACTGGGCACCTCGTAATAACATGTCCAAAGTAGACGAGACAAAAATCTCACCATTTTCCTTTCTGAGAAACATTCTGGCTGTAGTTCTTCCAGTGCAGAAATTTGTTCTCTGGCAGTTCAGCGCTATATTTTAAATGCATCAATTCTTCTAATCTTTTTTATTCATTGTTCAGCTTTCACATGAATATGAGGAAATTGGAAAGTGCGAGGTTTATGTCTGGTATACTTTAGTTCTCAAAGTTACATCTTTGCTTAAAAAAAACCCAAACTTTCTTTTTAAAAACACATTAAGATCTTTTGCAGCAGATTTGTACAAATGCCCAGGCATAACCCAGTACGTCACCAGGTCTCCTTGATCTGAAATGAAGACTCCCCGCCCAATCCACACTAAAAAAATGTTAAATAATACTAGAGTCTAAAGATGGATAATAAGAAAATATGAAATGTAGATTCTGTTTACCTACAGATTCATAGGAATCAATGGGGAGAAAGAACAAAAGGAGAAATGAGACATGATGATATTAAGAAATTAGTGTATGATAATTATGTGATTATGTTTATAAAACAATTCTTTTTCTTAGGAAAACAGACTGAAATCCTTGCAATGAAACTATATAATATCCGTGAATTATTTCAAAGAAAAAGGGAGGTTTGTAGATTGGTTATTGAAGATGGAGGCAGGCTAAGGCCTCGTGATAGTTTTGAATCAAATATGAAAGAGCCGCACACACTGCTGCCTCAGCTGTTTCTATAAATCTTCCCTACAAATCCTTTGATAACTTGTAGAGATCAAAAGATGTTGAAGTAGGATAAAAGAAAAGGACGCTTTAAGGGCATAGGATACTTGATGACACTGCTATTTTTAGGTACCCTGATATCCTAACTCAGTTACCTCATGCACAAGAGAATGAAACACTGCCCAGTTTTGCACCATCCTCACAATAGTTTGTATTTGAAGTAGTTGTTGCAACCACAATTCATCTTCCCTGAGAGTCTTCCTCCTTTACGTTGACCCTCCATTTTACCAAGCATGATATTTTTCCCCAGGAATTGGTCCTTCCTGATAATGTGTCTAAAGTACATGCGATGAACTCTCATCCCTTCTGAGAAGCGTTCTGGCTGTAGTTCTTCAACATTGGTTTGGTTGTTCTCCTGGCAGTGTACAGTATATTTAAAACTATTCGCCAACACCATAATTCAAAGGCATAAATGCTTCCTGTCTTCCTATCTAGCTTTTCCACACACATGAAGCAAGTGCAAATAACATGGCTTGAGTCAGGACATGTTGGTCCTCAAAGTGACATTTTTGCATTATAACACTTTAAAGAGCTTTTTTGGTAGCAGATTTGTCCAAACAAGTAAATCACTTGATTTCTTGACTGCTGTCAATAGGGGTATTGACTGTGGATCCAAGTAAAGCGAAGTCCTTCCATCTCTTCTCTATTAATCACGATATCGCTTATTGGTTAAGTTGTGAGAACTTTTGTTTTCTTTGTTAAGATATAACCAAGATGGAACGAGAATAGACTTGGCTTTTCATCATTAATATTTTAATTTCTCTAAGCTTATTAATCCATCTTCCACTCCTAGTGCCCATTCTTCTTCATGCAGTCCATTCTCAGAGTACTTGCTCAGCATACACATTGAATTAATATGGTAAAAACATACAGACATGTTACACACCTTTCTTGAATTTAAAATATCTGTAATCCCCTTGTTTAGTTCAAATGCCTGCCTCTTGGTATAGCTACAGGTTCCACATTCTTCACAATGTTACTCATACTTCACATGATCCACTCAAATGCCTCTATATAGTCAATGAAACACAGGTAAACATCTCCCTGGTACTCTGCTTTCATTCAAGAATCTGATTTCAGCAGTAATATCCCTAATTCCAAGTCACCTTCTGAATTGTGCTAGATTTTCTCATACTTCCTTGTCAATATATTGCTCCAAATATTTCAAATTCTCTTCAACAAAATTTAACTTGCATGTGGTATGAATAATATTATTAAATAATTTCTGCATTTTATTGGGTCACCTATCTGTGGAATAGGAATGGATGTGGATCTCTTCCTGATGGCCTGCCAAGTAGCTATCTTCCAGATTTTGGGGCACAGATGAATGAGCACATCGAGTGCTGTATCTCTTTGTTGACACACCTCCCTTGATATTCTGTTGATAACTGGAGCCTAGCTTTTCAGCAGCGCCTTCAGTGCAGGTTGGACTTCTTCCTAAAATGCAGTCGGTTCTTGGTCATATGCTATGCCTCTTCAGGGTACAGCGACTCCACGTCTTCCATTCATCTTCTTTTGATGATCCCCGGATCATTCAATGTTCTGCCCATAGAACCCTTCAATATTGCAATACGAGGCTTCAACGTTTTCTGTAGTTCTTTCAGTCTGAGATATGTTGATGATACTGCTCCCTTTCAGTTGTGCAACTCTAAGTCTTTGTGCAGTTCATTATAACGCTTTACTTTGTCTTCTCAAATGGCCCTTTAAAATGTTCTGTTCAGCTCTTCATCATTTCTTCCATTTACTTTAGTTATTTTACTTTCAAGAGCAAGTTTCAGAGCCTCATCTGGGCTGCTAATCACAAGGTCAGCGGTTCTAAACAACACACAGGAGAAAGATGAGGCTCTCTGTTCACTGGGGAAAGGAGAATCTAACTCTAAACCAGTGGGGAGGAAAATTCAACTCCACTTCTGCCCAAGGATGATTCCTATTCAGGCAGCAAAAAAGAGGAAGACCCTCAACAAGCTGGATGGTCACAGTGGCTGCCACAGTGGGCTCAGGCATAGGAACAATGTGAGGATGGTGCGGGACCTTGCAGTGTGTTAGGGTTGTTATGGGTCAGAGCCTACTTGATGGCACCTATCAACAGCAACATTCCTGTAGAGATTTACAGCCTTGGAAACCCACAGGGGCTGTTCTACTCAGTCTTATGCGGTCACTATGAAATGGTAGTGAGGTGAGGGGAATTTTATATTCACCAGTTTAAATTAATTATCAAACCCCCTCCCCCAATAGCTTACCTTATCTGAACCCATTTGATTTCTCTTCTTCTTCTGTGAAGTACTGGCTGCTCTTTCACCCATGTTAGTACCTGTCGTCCCTCTAACCTATTCCTTCATTTTCTCTCCCTTGCTCTACACCGCTAGATAACCTTCAAAGTCTTTTCTCTGATATGAAAGTGTTTGCTTTGGTTATTTTCTTTATAACAGTGGCCTGTATATTATTTGTCCTTTTGTGATTAATTTATCTTCAGCTTCTTTTATTTTATTTTTTAAAATCATTTTATTGGGAGTTCATACAACGCTTATCACCATCCATACATAAACCAATTGTATAAAGCACATTTGTACATTTGTTACCCTCATCATTCTCAAAACACCAGCTCTCCACGTAAGCCCCTGGCATCAGCTCCTCATTTTTTCCACCTCCCTCCCCGCTGCCCCTTCCCTCATGAACCCTTGATAATTTATAAATTATTATTTTGTCATATCATACACTGTCCAACGTCTCCCTTCACCCACTTTTCTGTTGTCCGTCCCCAAGGGAGGAGGTTATATGTAGAATCCTGTAATGAGTTCCCCCTTTCTACCCCACCCTCCCTCCACCCTCCCGGTATTACCACTCTCACCACTGGTCCTGAAGGAATCATCTGTCCTGGATTCCCTGTGTTTCCAGTTCCTATCTGTACCA